GGTTACAGATGTACCCTTAGGCCCCTCCTCCAATCAGAGATGGTCTTTCCCTTTTCACGTAAATGGCCTCCTTGACTCCGCCCTCAAACGTTCCTCCTGACCTCACAGCCCGTTGTTGAATGGTCCTCACGGTCATTGATCAGCAGTCATGAGAATTTGCATGTTGAAGAAATGTTTCTGCTGCTGAAAACATCCAGACGAACAGAATCAACTTGTGGGATTGACGTACCTGGATGACTGAGCATGAAGACATGACTGCATCATGGTGGAGTCCAGAAAGCATTGCCAGCTCAAACATTACAGTCAGCATTCATACCCCATGCCAGGTGAGCATGTCTACACCTGAACAACAGATAGCCGTGCCAGGTGATCCTACTGATGCCAGCAGGCTTCCTTAATCACTGGGCACCATCTTACCCACAATCCACCTGGCCTGGCTGTGCCCCATCTGCACTGGCTGCTCCGTTTATACTGGAGAGCAGCCAACAGAGCCACACAGTCTGCTGCTACATATTCTTTTATTACTAAAGCTCACAAAAGGATCGTTTCCTGCCTCCACATCTGACCTGTTACAGTGAAACAGCTTCTACACCTCTGTATCTGTAAGGACACGTTTACTGTATGACACCACTGCCATCTGCTGACTAAACACGTGAACTGCAGCATCATGTAACCACAGCCCAGGTTTCTCTTACAGGATCATATATATTATTACTCCTGTGTTCAGAGTGTGAAACGTCGTCATGCTGATTAACCAGAGAGTCACAAACACAGAGCATCTCAGACGTGTCCTCCAGTAACACCAGCATACTTCCTTCAACGTGCACACACATGTGCAATATTTATGCTGAGTCCATTCATTACTCGACTGGGTTACTGTAAATCATTATTATCAGGCTGCTCTTTGTGTTGTTATATCACTGCTGATCATCAGTGACTGATGGAGTTTTAATGTTGTGGGGCAGGGGTCCAACTCCAGGCCTGCAGGTTTGAGACCTCACCCTGGGTCAGCACTGAGTCACATGATGAGTTCATTACCAGCCTCTGGAGAACTGCAGGACATGTTGAGGAGGTCAGCTGTATCCCAATTCAGGATCTGCCGATTACGTCACAGCGACGAAGGCTGTCCCAATCCAAAGGCTGCTCGAAATGCGGCCCTCAAATGCGTCCTTCATTTCCCTGAATTTTAAGGACGTGGCGGTGTAGACTTCGTGGCCCAACATATCCCAGAATGCATAGCG